TTATCGTTTGATGAATGTCTAAGACGGGTTTGATCGATACTCATCAGACATCGAAACAGCTTATCGAAATTTTAAGTGCTCTACATTTAGGTACTGACGTCAGAGAGACGTAAACATTTGTTTGCCTGTCTTCTAGTCTCTCAATTATGGCATATTATGTCCGCACAGCAAACACCGTCGTACCAACAATGGAACAACAAATAACAGCTACAAAACAGTTAAAAAACGATTCAAAAAAAGATTTTGAACGCCGACATCCGGTTTTCCAGAAACCGATTTTTGAGAGCATAATGACAGCTCTCATTGTGATGTGTGGGATCAGCATCATTCATTACATCTAGTAGTTTAGCCGATGTTGACGGAGTTATTTCCAGAGATATACGTGAATGAATTTGCGGACTTTGAAATACTTGACTTGACTTACAAAATTTCATCCAAGTCCACGTGAGTCTATTAACATTCATAAAAGTTCAAAGAGCTAACATCTACTTTTTGTTCGAGGTCGTCTGTATGAGTTGTTAGATGAAATCATACATCTTATACTTTAAGATTGACCAGTAAACTACTTGAGAATGCAGCTTTCAGTCATCGATCTATAGACAGATGAGGTAGAAGAGAAAAAAGTTTTGCCTATAAAGTAGTGAAGTCGAACTCTTCTGCTTTTCTATTGGTGAAATACTCAGAACATAATCGAGACCGCTACAAATTTTTTGCACTAATAATGCACTCACTTTCCTGTGAGATGTCGATACATATTTGTATTACTCATATGACGTAGAAGCTATAAATGATTTATTCTAGTGAGATAATCAACGAATTTGATCAATCATCATCAATGACTATTGATTCATTATGTAATTTAATCAACAAACAAGTTTATTATAAGAGTTATATTTCCAGCAACACGTCAGAATTAGATTCTGACAATGGAGAACTATCAAAATATCATGCAGTTAATTTATTACATGAGCAAACAATTGAAATCCAAGATATTCATCCTCAAAAAACAGCACAACATATATTAAATCTAATGAGATTATTTGCAGGAAGAATTAAAATATTAAAACAACTTGATATACTCATTCCTTATAAATTGAGAAATCTAGAGAATTATGTATCATGGACAGTCGATAGAAATATTGAAACATATAAAGTAGATATTAATCCATAAATTATCCAACAATGTTTAGATAAATATATAGAAGACGCCGGAGTACGAGCGTATTATTCAGCTACAGATTTTAGAATCGATGATCTTGCACGATGATTAATTTAATCACAATCAATACGTACTGTATGATGGCTTTGGGAATATAAATATTATTACATTAAGAATTACTTAGGATTCTATTTTTTCTAGACGTATTCATTTTAAAAAATTATGTTTTTCTTCGTGTAATTCATTTTATTTCTTCAAAGTGATGGTTAATAAAGCATAAAACGATGAAAAATATTTTTCTCATACAGAAAAATATTTTGTGCAGTAATAGGCTGTTCTACGAAAGAGCACAGCTATTAATAATGCAAACTGATGTATCACATCATTTGACCTTTGCAAAATGAAGAAACTTTTAGATGTTTGTCTCATAACGAATGATGCATACATAACTAGCCATACAGGAAAATATTGAATTTAATCTTTTGGAAATAGCTGCATTCATTTTGATATGAAAATAATCTTGATTACATAAAGAAGTAGAAAAACAGAGTAACATCGGATATAGATCAACAATTCAGATACTATTGTGTTTGGTATTAAATTTTTGATTTCAAATGATAGAACTGAATATAAAAAAATGTTCATTGAAAAGTTCTAGTCAAAATACTAGTTGTCTGAGTGCCAACTGATCATACAGAAAAAAATGTTCGTTTGAATTCAGGATTTAACTGTCTAAATAGTATATGTCTGTCGAAAAGAAGGAAGAGCGCTAAATCTGTTTTTTTACGTCGTTTAACAAATTTCCATTTACTAGATATAATAAATATTTCATATCTGAATCTCATACAAATCTTTGTTGATTGGATTCTATCGATCATTCTACACAATATCGAAAGGTGCAAATTACCAGTCGCTTAAAATAGAGAAAAACTAATGGGTGGCTCAGAATAACAGTCCCTCTCTGCATTTTCTCAATATCTCGGTCAATACCAGGCCTCAGTCATCTTTTAAAAGATTTCTCATTTAATTCTCTACTCATATAAAATGAGAAAAAAGCGTTGGTATTGTCAACCATACACGTGACGACAGTATATATATATATATACGTTTGAACGTTTGTTTATATGATAAGAGTAAACAAATATAGACGAAATATGGGAAAAAGCTTCATTATCGATTACTCTCAAACTCAAAGCGTAATCAGTTCAATATGTTTTAAGAATAGATAATAAGGCAAACACCACCTTATACATAATGAAGTTACAATTTCACTTGAGACTAGTTTCGTCTTTATTCAAAAGACATCATCAGTCATATGATGGCAAAAACATTTATCATCTCCTTTTAAGCATAA